CACACCCACACCCACACCCCACCCACACTTACACCCACACCCACACCCCACACCCACACCCTCAGTGCTGAGGCATGTATTGATACCACTCGATCGGAGATCAATGGCAAAGTATTGTTTACACAAGAGGTTAAAGTCATGATCAGACATGGTTTCCAAATTGAAATGATAGCGTCGAAAATGTATGAAGAGCAAGTCGTTAATACGAGAGTTATGATTGTTAAACGTATCAAGAAGATGAACACCGTCGAAAATACGTGAATATCTCTAATAAGAGTTCATTAGGCAATGGTTTCTACTTCATCTTTTTCGCTTTGGCATAAAATAAAAAAGGTAGGGTTGTGTGTTTTATATGATGAAAGACAAATGTATCACTGGTTTTTTCGTTCTTGTTATGGCATGATGTAGGTTACTCTGGAAGCAGCTATTTTCTCTTTCTCTTTTCTATCACGATGACTGTAATTAAATAGGAAAGCAAATCTTTTTTTTTTATTTTTGTTTATATGTCAGGAATCGTGCGTTAAAAAAAAGCACAAAAAGGATTCGAGTGGCTCACAAGGATTAAGAGGAAAAAAAATCCTTTTGAAATAGTCACCAATGTAAGGAAAACAGCTTATTTCAAACAGGACAATCATTGAGTGTGCATGAGTGAGACTGATTCTTCTCTTTAACTAGATTTTCGAAAAACACGAATGAAAACTAAATGTTTCAGAAAACTTACCGAATACAGCACACACTTGGCATACGGAATAATAATTGAGTAAAGATGGTGTATTATTTTGGGTGTCTTTTTTTTGTAATTGTTGATTAGCCACAGTATGTGTCGAAAATTCTAAAGAGCTGATCTTGTTTGATGAATTTTCGAATTTCATTGTGAACTTTGTCTTCACTGATCATCAGTTTAATGTTCCTTGTATGATCGAGTTTGACTGCTTGTTAGCAAATCTAAAATGAATTACGACGATAATTGAATATTAGTCTCAACAATAGTTTGAGATGAAAAGCAAGTAGAATATCAACCACATTCAGGTTCATCTTGGTCGCATCAATTTTTTTCAAAGTTGATATCAAACAATGGATCCATAATTTTGACAGATGATCGTGAATAATTTTGTTATGAATACTTGAAAGAAAGCTATAATGATCGATGAAATTATTTTCTTCAAGATGAGCCAAAAGAAGCAACATATAAACTTGACAAGTGTTTGACACAATTGTTTGAAAAGCATTGTGAAATCAACGAGAATCAGCAACTGTAATGCCATTGAAAATTACTCCATAGTACTCGAACGACAATACCCAATCAAAGATTGATATCACTTATTTCAATTTGTATATGACTTGGCATAGACCAAAGTTAAACATTTGTCGCTTTCGAGACATGAAATCCGTTTATCGATTATATCAGAGAACAACGAAAAAAAACACTAATCTATCAATAAAAAAAATATTTCAGTGCAATGGGCTCCTGTTGTCAGCTTATCACTTTACCACGATTGATTTTTTTTTGTCTCGCATTAAGAATCAATTTCACACTGTAAAAATCATTCCAATATTTGACATGACGAAGCTATGTTTGAGTTTAATATTATTTATTTCATGGTATTACCTAGTTCAATGTGCTCAGCCGTATTTTCCAACTCAAATAGTATTTTCGCCTGATGATTATAAAACAATCTATGCAATTGATGAAATCAATCAACGAGCTTATAAAACAATATCTTATGGTTCCACAGGACGAGAGAATTCTTTTGTTATGAAAAACTTTCCATATGCAAGTCCTGATTCTCCACAATCAAAATATTATGTTCAACTATTAGTCGACTTTCCACCATTTGATTGTAAGTATGGGCACCCTATCATTTCGTCCCATTACTTTTCGGCCCCTTACACTACGTCCCATTCATTTCGTCCCTCGCTCATTTTGTTCCTTTTCATTTCGTCCCAAATTCATTTTGTCCCAGTGTCATTTCGTCCTATACACTTCGTCCCAAACTCATTTTGTCCCGTTACACTTTGTCCCTACTTTTTTCATATGATTAGCTAACTTTAACGAAAGAGAAACAGAAAAGAAAAAAAATTCACACTCAAATATTGTTCACCACGTAAAGCCGTTCTTCTTTGCTATTTAATCGAGGGGCTACAGGGACTTATTGTTTTGGGATTTATTTCTTCTATAGGATTTATTAGGATTTATTTATTTAATGGGGATTTATTGGGATTTATTAGCTGCATCAGGATTTTCTTGCACCTTCACTCGACTGCTACCCCATTCGCCCTCACCCACAATTGCGTCTACATCCTCATCCTCACCATCGCCTTCGCTCTCACCCTCAAAATAGTGCGGGATTTATTTAAAAACGCATATAGATTTATTAAAAAGTCCTCCAAAAAAATCCCGGTAACTGCTGATTTAATCAAGTGTTGCTATCTATACGACCGATGGGTGATATTGAAATTTTGAAGAGTAAAAGTGGAAATCCGATTGTGTATCATGGTGAGTTCGTGTACATGCAATACCGATTGACTGATGAAAAACGTATTTTTCGATGCGAAAGCTGTGACCCTCACCCGCAAGATCTGGCCCGTGTGGCTGCTAACGTGAAACTAAATTCCTGAACTGTTATTCATTCTTCATTTTATTTAATATATTAAACGTAGAAGATCATAGTACACGATATTGTATATTAAGTAGAATCGTCAGAAACGACTTGTCCGGTAGGACAAAGTGTAACGAGACAAAATGAGTTTGGGACGAAGTATATGGGACGAAATGACACTGGGACAAAATGAATTTGGGACGAAATGACAAGGGACAAAATGAGCGAGAGACGAAATGAATGGGACGTAGCATAAGGGGACGAAAAGTAATGGGACGAAATGAGTGGCCACCTAAGTATGGAACATATTGGGAATATGGTGGAAATAATTTTAATTCTTTTCCACCACATTGGTGGCATAATCGAAGTTCGTTTACAATAGATAATTACATTAAATTTAAATATGTAATGGTATATTCAACGAATTTTTCACAAGATGAAGATTATTGGTATGCAAACACAACATGTCAAGTTGATAGTGGAGAAAATTATCCATGTGAAGAAATTTATTTTCGAAAGAATACTCAAATTCCTCTTCGATTTACTCAAGTTGTACGTCGAGGTTGGGATTTGATTCAGATAACAACAAACTATAAAGTTATATCCATGGGAAAACCAGATGATAAATTTTTTAATTCAATTCCACAAGATTGGTCAAGCATTTGTCAAGATATTAACCTCGGTCTTCTCTATTATCCACTATCGACAAAATTAAATTTACATCAAAGTGTAGAAATTCATATTTCACTCGCTGCTCCACCACATCGAATTGATGGTAATGATACTGTTCGTATTCAATGGAAACCAACTTCATGTGATGATTGTCTTACATGGACACCAAAAGAACTCACTTTTAACACGAATAATTTTCAAGAATACCAAATATTAACCATTACTCGTGTTAAAGATGGACCTAAAATAACTCTACTGCCAATTTTTGATGGTGGAAGTTATGATCTTGTCCCACCAAATATTTATCCTATTTTTATCGAATAAATTTCTTCCTTTTTTTTGAAGTTAATAATCTGAATCGAACATTTTCTTATTTTTCTTATATTGAAGATCCGAATATATTCAAAACGATAAATGCCTTTTGTTTTTACAATCAAAGAATAATAGAAATCTAGTGACAGGTGGTATAATACTGTATGTGAAAAAAACCTAGTCAAATATAAGAATGAAAAAATATAAAAAATAATACTGTGTTTTTTGTCAACTCATCATTTCATGACGATTTATTTTTTATAGCTCAAACGAAAGCACACATATATATATACACTGATAAATCTATATCGATATTATTCTGTCGATTATTTCAGAAATTTACAACGATGAAACTATATTTGAGTTTAATATCATTTGTTTTATGTTATTATGTGACTGAATGTGCTGATCAATCCTAGGGTGTGGGTGTGGGTGTGAATGTAAATTATAAGAAGATGCACACCCACATCCACACCCTCAAAAAGATCAGAGCAATAAATTCCAATATACCGATTGGATTTATTCGAATATAAGCGAATTAAGCTATGTAGTTTAAGTACACTTTTCACCAAGTAGTAGCCAGTTTTACTATATTTTTCCTTTCATCTTTATTGCAATCCTAAACAACATTGCACATTTAGAAATGTGATTTATAGTATGTACCCTAACGAAAAATAGTTAATATACTCTATTTAAAAAGAAAACGTTAAATGTCACCAGAATCATGGAAAATTATTCCACCGCAATACAAAAGAGTATTATTAAAGTGTGTTGAAGACAAAGAAGACTCTACTATTAAGATCCAAAATACCTGGGACCAAGAGATATTTCATCATACAATGCGGTAATAGTCTATTGTAATTTAGAAAAGTCTACAAAAGGTACGCTGATTAATATTAAAGGTCCGGTGAAAAATAGAAAAGTCCCATTACAATATACATTGTGTCCCAAAAGTCCCTTTCCAAAAGTTTTTTCATACATCTTCACTATTTTATTTAACTTGATTAACAAATTTTTTTTAATTAAAACTGAATACACAGAGTTTTTATTTATCCAAACGATCTTTCAGACTATTCTATAAAACTATCACTCTTGATCAAAATATAAAAATTTTGCTTTGTTTTTATTTCCAGAAAAAAAGTTATGCAACCTTCTTTTCTTTAGTTATGTTGACTTTCCGTAGTAGTTTTGTGTAAATTTTACTTCAAAGAAATGGTTTAAAATTTTTTCAGTATACATATTTCTGTAGAACTTGACGAGCTCTATCTAGCCGTTTGAAAATATCAAAGAAAAAACTTGGTCCATTTCTGAATCATTTGTACTTTAAAAAAGAAAGCAAAATTTTTATATTTTGATTACAAGTGATAGTTTTATAGAATACTACGGAAGATCGTTCGGATAAATAAAATCTCTATGTATTCAGCTTTAATTAAAAAAAAAATTTGTCAATGAAGTTAAATAAAATAGTAAAGATATATGAAAAAACTTTTGGAAAGGGACTTTTTGGACACACTATGTAGTAATAGTCTATTGTAATGTAGAAAAGTACTGCCCAAAACGGAAAAGTCTCATGTTTGTAGGAAAAAATGAGCTTAGGAACAGGATAAACGCAACAATATTCAAGTGTGTTAGAAAATTTTGGATTAATTTATTCGAGAAGTAAAGTCCTTTTAGGTAACCAGCGGACTTTTGATAAAGTGGACATTTTTCGGATCTTTGACAACCCTCTCCTCATTTAAGGATAGAAGCAAACCAGGGTGTGAGTGCAGACACAACATTCCTTTACATCCACAGCCACACCTTAACAAATGAGAATTTATTTTGTATGGTTTTCAAAGATCTTATTTCTATAGTTAAAACTAATGTATTCGTTTCAACCGAACATACTTAGGGCAGTCCAAAAGTAGTGGCGGAGGTTTTTTTTTCTTATAGAAGGCTTGAAAAAATTTTCTTTTTTTATAAATAGATAGAGCATCTTTCGCTCTATCTTTATATGCTATTTGATCACTATTCAACTGATATCATAATAATAAAATTTTGATGAGAACTATTTTTGTTGAAAACAAGCTGGTAGCATTTAGAGCATAACGGATGTAGTATTTTTGCATTCCACTTTATTATCACATACTATGTTGTATTGAAAAAATAAAATATACCAGAAGATGTAGTGTTAAAAGCTCTACAATTTATAAAGTACCACTTATTTTAATAGTTGTACTTTTTGTGTTAAAAATGGACAAAACTATAAGCTACCAAATTTCGACCTTGAGAAAAGGAGATTGTTTTTTTTGTAAAAGATGACTTCCGTTTTTCTTATCTCCTCTTTTTATTACTTGATATGTTTTATTTTAAAAAACAAAATACACTGTAAGATACAGCATGAAGAGCTCTACAATTTACAAAGAACACCTATACAAAGATTAGATTTAAAAAAATCCAATTCTTTTTTTTTTTACCAAAAAACGTCTCGTTTTCATCACGTCGAAGCTTGGTAACTCAGAGTTTTGCCCATTTTTTAAAACAAAAAGTACAACTATTAAAATAAACGGTACTTTATAAATTGTAGAGCTTTTCACGCTGCATCTTATGGTAGATTTTTTTTTCAATACAAAGTATTGAGTGATAATAAAATGAAATGCAAAAGTGTCTCATTTTTTAATGCCACACTCATTATGATCTAAATGCTACCAGCTGGTTTTCAACAAAAATAGTTCTCATCAAAATTTTATTATTATGATATTAGTTAAATGGTGATCAAATAGCATAGAAACGCTAGAGTGAAAGACGCTCTATCTATTCATAAATCGAGCAGCACTACTTTTAAAAACTAGAGTACAGTCTCTACATAGAGAGAGATCTCTGACGAAATAAATTCGTGTTCCAACAGAGAAAATATATATTATCAGTCACATATATGATGAGATGATAAATGTTCCGACAGAACAGAAAGAAAAAAGTTATTGCAGGAAGGATTGAAAGAGGAAATTTATATAAAAATATACAAAAACGACCTAATTTAATAGGATAATATTGTAGAGGAACTTCTTTCTTGCCGCTTTCTTTTGATAAAGCAACATAAAATATCTTGTCGGATGTGCACTTAAGATGCAGAGAAATAAACGCAAAAAAAAGCTAGATAATTTATTTTAATGAAAAATAATGAATAGATTCTGGTGATCTTTAGATTAGATCCATCTAATTCTGCTTGAAATTCCACCTATATAAAGACAAAAAGTCAATATATATATATCGGAAAAAAAAATATTTCACAAAAAAGCTGATTTACTCGTAAATCACATAATGTTTAAAAAAACTTGAATTTTTTTTTTGGTTACTTCTATCTCTTGAAGCAAAAAACTAGATTGGTTTACAATAATAGTCACTGATATATACTTTTTAGGATGATAAGTCTATTTATCTCATAAGGATGTTTTTTAGTCTTAATAGCTCTACATCTAATCAAAAAACATTATTTTACTCAGTTTTTTAAAGATTTCAAAACAAAGATTTGAAACAAATGTTTGGTAATTTTTCTAGAAAACATATATTCAACGAAAAAATGGTGATTTCTAATCACTGAACTTTTTTAGCGTTTTTCTCTATTAAATATTGATCGAATCGAAATAAAAAATATATGTTCCTGATCAACTTTTCTCATTCTATCAGAGCATATATAAATGAATAAAAAACAAAAAAAAAAGATTTTGCATTTTCACTACCTTACAAACGAGGAACTCTTTAATCTTACATGCAATACTTAGAATATCTGTTTATTTTTCTTTCAGTCAATATTACTCATAATCGACAATATAACATACAAATTTCAGTATTTTTTGCTTTTTCTTTTTATTACATTAGTTTGTTGTCATTACTTAGCGACTACATAATATTATGAAAACAAGATTTCCTATTATTCTTTGAAAAAGTCTAACATGGATACCTCATTATTTAGATTAAATCCAAATGATAAGCGAAATAGAGAAGTATTCGGTACTCGCGTTTTTTTGGAATTCTACTAAAGACTGTATCTTGAATAAGAGATCCAAATAAAACCTTTTAAGGAAATATTCTTCCTTTTGAATTATATGTGCATATTAACTTTCTTCTTTGTTCTCTTATATGTATCTGTGCTTTAATTCTTCTTGCTAATTTGATTTTGTTCGCTCATATCTATTTTCTCATGAACAATAAACATCGATATTGACCTTGTTCTTTTTATTCATTTTGCTCATTAATCTTTTTATCGCATAGTTTATAATACGTGATAGCGTTATCATCATATATATATACATATGTATTTCTTTTATTCATATTCAGAATGGTTATTGCTGGTATTCTCCTCTTCTTTTCAAGTCTTTCACGCTTTCATTCTCTTCTTGATTCATTCCTTCTTTTGTACTTTTATCTTCATTGAAATAGAAATGAATTCACGTTTAAAAAAACACAACACTTACAAAAACTTTAAGTCTTATCATACGAATTGTCTTCTTTCTTATTGAACAAATGAAAAATTCTGATTGAAATTTCAAAGAAAAAAAGAGAGAATGTTCTTTTCAAATGATTTATACAATTTGTATTGCTCTTTTTCTTTTCTATTTTGCGTCGAATTCTGTTCTTTGTCTAAATGATGCACTATCACATGGACACGTGCATGTGCTTGGTGTTCTCTCTTTGTTTCTCTATCATATATAAGCTTGTGTCGAATGTAAAGTAGCTAATGTTAGCATAATTTATGTACATATAACAATGGTTGTATGATTTCATTTGCTCTTTAGTAAAGTATTATAACAATTTTAGATATAATCTCTTTATGGAACAAATCAAACGACCATTGAATAATATTTTCAAGTTTGATGATCAAAACAAGAGAAAAAAAATACAAAGTAAAACTATCTGTAACTTATTTTTTATTTTAAATGGAATTTTTTTTCCTAGTAACAACAGTTGAACCAAACAGGAATGTCAAAAAGTAAGAAATTTTTCTTTTTCATAACTTAACTAATTCTTTTTTATCAAATTATTTAAGAACAATTTTTACAAAGTTTGAAGATCTGTTTAATGAACTTCTATACGAAATATTCGAATATTTGGATATGTATGATTTATATAAAGCTTTTTACAATTTGAATATACGATTTCGTAATCTAATTGTTAATTCAAATCTTCCAATAAAAATCAATATTTCATTCATATCAAAATCGAATTTTGAACATTTCAATAACGACATTATTCTACCCAACATGCATCGAATTACTTCTTTTCACGTATTAAATCCTATGGTTTATGATTTAAATGTTTCTCCAACTAACATGATATCGAAATTTTTTCAACTTAAAAAACTTTTTCTTGATCAAATTGAATCGACATATATGGAAAAAATTCTTCATCAATTAATTTCTCTACCATTTCTAACTTCATTAACTATCTTTATGGTTGATCCTGTTAATAATATTAATACTTTGTATCTTCAAATATTTAATCTACCTACATTAAAATATTGTCAATTATCATTGAAAGAAGGTTTGACAAGAGAACTGTTACCAATGGCAAGTAATCAACATAGTTCAATCGAATATCTTGTTATCAACAATATTATAAATATCAATCGATTGATTAATTTATTATCGTATGTTCCTCAACTTCGTCGTCTTACCATTCATTCATTAGAAGAATCTTATCATAAACAAATATGTCCTATTATGTTAAATCATTTGACACATGTTTCTCTCACATTAAAGAACATTAATTTTCATGAATTTAGACAATTCATCATAGACTTTTGTTCTACAATTAATGTTTTACGTATTACAATAAAACATTTTATAGATTCATCATATGTAGATAATAAGAAGTGGGAAGAGTTGATATCATCATATATACCAAATTTACGTATATTTGATATTCAATATGAAAATTATTTCAATTCTATTCATTCCTCTAGGAATGATGTTCTTTTTAATCAAGCAATATCAAATGTTCTGATCAATAAGTTTACATCTTCATTTTGGATTGAACGAGGTTGGTTTTTTGCACAACAAAATTATCAATCAAATCGTACAATTTTCTACTCAACAAATCCATATAGGTAACTATACTCATGATTTTTAACTACATTATGTATATTATTTTTATTTTTTTTTTCAGAAGAAATACTTATACATTATGTGGAAAATTTGAAAAAAAAACTTGTTTAAATACTTGTGATAATAATTTGAAGTCTGTTCGTCATGTTCATATTCAAAATAAAAAAGCAATGAACAAGTGCAAATATTATTTTCCAAATGTCATTGCATTGACTATCAACAACAATGATACTAAATCTTATAATTCATTTTCAACTATTCTTAGAAATATCATTCCTTCAAAACAACTGACTAAACTAATTATCGAATGTAGTCAGTTTTCTTTTATAGAAATACTTGATCTATTATGTTCTATGCCAAATATTCATACATTAATATTCTTATCAATACCAAGATTTAAACACAAGTTTCATATCGTTAAAAAAAGCGAAAAATTACAATTATTATCCAATATCAATACTATAACAGATATGACAATTATAGGATCACTTAAATTTGAAGAAAATCAATTGTTTATTAATTCATGTCAACATTTACAACATCTTATAATTAATACAACTATAGATGATTTAGAAATGGATATTCGATTATTATCGAATAAATATCATTGTCACAATCTTCATTTTTATTCATTATGTATTTTAAAAGCAACAACATATTGGGCTATGAAAGTACAATCATTGATTCGATCCGAGAAATTACTTAATAACTATATATTAAAATTAGTAGGTTCGAACTTATATTTATGGTGGTAATATATACATGTTTATCAATAAAACATAGTTTCGAATAAATAGAAAAATTAATTCTTGTGTAATAATTTAAAATTCTAATGTCATATGATTTTGAGAATAATCAAAATTCTAAAAAAGAATTTCTCATTTGAAAAGAAAACTTGTCATAAATTATTTTGATCGAACAACAAAAAACCAATCCAAACATTATTAAAATATAAACTTGAAGAATTGTTCATTGATTTGTACATGAGTTTAATAAAAGTTAATAATAAGTTCTATTCATGCTCATGCTTTTGATTTTATTTTTATTTCATTCGTAACATTATTAAATTGACTTAAGTATGATTTATTCTAGAGGCTGTTTGTACAGTCAATTCATTCAATCAAATTATTTTCGTGAAACATGATTACACATCGTGCAAGCTAATGTCTGAATTTTGACAAATGAAACAAATAAAAGAAAAACAAAAACAGTTATACGTACAGTAGTTTCTCATTGATATAAGATCCATCTTTTCTTTAATAATTAACTAAAGATAGAATATTTTGCTTCATATAACGATGTTCTGTTGGAGTTGCATGAAAATGAATAAAATTGAAAAGCTATTTCGTTGGTGATCCTGGTTGTGATAATTATTCTGTCTTTTCTGTTTTGTTCGATGATTTCTTTTTATTGTTTTGTTTACAACGAGCCATTGATGGTAAACCATGGTCTAATGAGTATATTGAATTGAAATTCGATAACTACACTACTGAAATCAAGATCAATAATTAAAAAGTAGTTTTAGTATTATTCAATGTATAAAATCAAATATATTTCAGATTGTTGTATCGATAGAAGTAAATTACGATCGAATTCGACCACTTCTTTCATAGACGAATAGTGACATGTCATCATCATTTTCTTTACGATCGATAATTTTGAGAGTTTCAAAAACCTGTTCGAGGTGAGTGCATTACTATCATTTATTTTTATTTTCATGATAAATCTTTCAGAGATTGATACCCAAATGTAAACATTTTTTTTTAAATAGAAACACCAATCATTCTTGTTAGTAAGTTTATATTCGTTAATAAAGAACGTCTCAATTTTGTTTCTAAAAAATGATACGAGAAAATCAGAACAATTAGTTCATTTCAACGAAGATTATAAGATGATGAGACAAACTGGCTCAACTGTTTATATTGAATATGCAACAAAGATATGAGAAGCATCATATATATTTAAATTTATTTCTTCAATCAGACATGCATGATATAGAATAAATCCCTTCCTATATTAGAAGTCCCTTTTTTTAGGAACCTCTCGATCAAAGTTGGCAGAGTCAATTAGAAGTTCTCGAGGCTTCTAATATGAGAAGGAGTTTATTGAAGATCTTAGCTCAAGAGGAAATATCTTTTCTAATCGAAAACTAGTAGACCTGAACTTTTATATTTCATATTTCAATCATGTTGTAATAGAGAATTATTTAAACAACAATGCAGTTGTTTATTATGTGTATTATTTGAGAGTAATAATTAAAGCAAATCGAATTATTTGTGGAAAAAAAACTTAATGTTCGTATTTTAAAATAAAATCATTTACCAAATTATTCAAATATTTTTGTGCTTGTAATAATTTTAATTTACAATTTCGATCTTTTTATATAATTAAATCATAATAAATATTCTTGAAACAGATATTTTATGTAGTATTAACAAAATGAAAGATGATCAACTAGTCAATGGAATGGTATATAAAGACTTTCGAATGTTTCGAAAGAAAAAAAATCATATTTTTTCTTTTATTCTATAATCACAAAATCATTTCAAATATTGTTCGATTCTGTTTAAAATATCATCTTATTCATCTGAATAAAAATCTCATAATCAAACAAGAAAATTGATTAAGAAAATAAAAATATTCATTTCTTTCTATATTATTATTATTTTGCCTTTCGGTAGTTTTATATCTAATAAATATATTTCATCATAGAATATTGATCAAATATTATTCGATTTCCTCTTCAGAATAATAAATTTCACCTTAAAACTGAATCGATTGAATAATCTACATCCGATTTATAATTTATTTTCATCGGTTTCTTTTTTTCTGCTTTAAATTTGAAAAAGACTTCCATGAAGAATTTACAAGATTTTCGTAATCGAGATTTCTACTTTCGACAAAACTATAGCTCATCATAAAAATATTAGGAATAAATAAATTAGCACTAAATTTACTTAGGGTTATCCAAGAGTGGGGGTGTGGGTGTGATTAAAGAGATCCCACACCCCAATCAATATCGTAAGTCCTGTAAAATATCAAGTGCATCAAAAAAAATATTTTGGAACATAGTTTATTTAGCGAAATTTTTGCATAAACAAATAATAAAATCTTGTTTTTTTTTAATTCAAATACTGCATCCTGAAAAGCTCTACAAAATCTATTAACTTCTTTTGATTGTTTATTTCATACTTAAAATGAAAGTAAACTGCACAATAGTGCTATTTTTCATCGTATTTAACATAATGCAAAAAATATATAGAAGATTATTATATTTTATATGTGCCTTCATTTAACAAAAATGATAGAACGTTAATATTTTTTGTAAAAGATGTGCCATCGAAAGTCGCATGAAACAGTTCTTATTGCCAGGAGCGGCGCAAAGAAGTCATAGCACGGGAGTATCCAAAAAATCGGAGCAACTGTTTAGGGGTCGTTCAGTACAAAAAAAAACACTTTCTTTTTTTTAAAGTGATGATCAAGATGCGGGAGAGGGGGCTAGCTTTGCGAAGGTTCCCCTCAAGTGCACAAAAATCAAAATTTTCGAATTCTAGACGACTCTTCAGCAATCTCTCTACATTACGAGAAAATTTGAGCCAAAATTCTCAAAGCAGGAAGATATGCTCGCGCTGTCCCTGCTTATTGTACAACAAAACGCCTTCCAAATGTTTATTTTGCTTGACGCGTAATTCGTATTCAGCAGGTGTTTGAATTGAACATATGTATATGATATTCGATCTCTACTATCCAAACATAGAATTGGATTAAATAAATCAGGTGCAGTTTCAATACATGACTCAAAACAAAAAAAACCAAGTCAGACTTTTAACGTGCACTGTAGTTGTTATAAAATCAATGTCTAATTAAGAAATAACTAAAAAATGAATTGATATCTGATAAATAAGTCGTTGATGAATAATTAATGAAAAGAAAATTAAAAAGTGAATAAATAGTTATAGCCTCTTTTACTCAAAAAGACGTGAAAGATATCTATTAACACTCTTATGGATTCAACAAGACCTTGATTATAATAAAATGATACTTTAAAAAAAAAGTCTGTTTCAAAATCGATTGATTAAAACAATTTATAAATATCAAAATTGATCTTATATATTAATTAGATGAAAATTCGTATGAACAGAATTTTTCAAGTGCTATATTCTACTATTGATGTATATAGAAGTTATTTATCAGAGTTTTGCTCATCTTATACAAGTATTGAAATATTTTATATGTTAAACTTGAAAATTAAATTAAATTCAAAATGATTATTCTCTCTATGTAAGTATTACAAAAAGACTATTATGTTAATTTTTTTTCATAATGAGGAAAAATCTGATGGTTTTAATCAGATCGTTTCCTTTGTATAATATATTATCAGGGGTATTAGTAAAAGATGCTAACACCCACTAACACCC